TACCTAGAATACGATACCGAGTGGTAATCAGTCCGCCGTTGGGGCGTTGTCGAGATATTCGGGGTCAAAGGTCAAATGAGTTCATTTGCACTGAAAGTGAATGCGCAGCCATTCCTGTATTATGAAAAGAAGATGAAAATGATCGAAAGTAATCACACTTTCAATAAAAATGTAAACTTCCTAAATTCGCCTTTAGTCTTAGTTCCCCCAGAGGTCAAAAGGTGAAATTTACCGTTTTTGCACTAGGAAGATTTAAAGCAATAAAATGTCAACGTAAAATATAAAAACTAAAGCGAAAACTGTTTTAATTAATAATAGGACCATTTAAAATTTATATTTAGGGGGTCTTAGCACCAAAATTTTACTTTGGAACGTCGAAAATGATCTTGCATAACAGAACCAACACAATTTGAAACCTGTTTCAAAAATACGTAAAAACTGTCAAATCGAAATCCCTCCGATTTATTTTCACAACGATTGTTATACATAATGATACTAGTTATCTGAAAAACAATTAAATAGTTTCAGTGTTGGACTCCAGCCTGCAGGCCGCGTGGATTTCCGAGAATCCCAGTCTAGGCAAACCGACGTTAATCTGTGACGGGAAAACACGTATCTGACGACGAGATTAAAAGTTTACAAATTTTTTATGAGTTTTTATGAATTTCGCCGGAACATGGGCGCAGATAAAACCGACGAATGCGCTGTATATAGTAGTTCACAGGATATATATGTCGTATTGGTAAATGTTAGCGGGGGAAATTTTGGCAGGCAGGCTGGAGTCCAGCCATGAAACTATTCAATTGTTTTTTTCAGACAACTAGTATCATTATGTATAGCAATCGTTGTAAAACTAATTCGCAGAGATTTTGATTTAACAGTTTTTACGTAATTTTGAAACAGGTTCGAAGCATTATGGTTCTGTTATGCAAGATCATTTTAGACGTTCCAAAGTAAAAGTTCGGTGCTAAGACCATCTAAAGATAAATTTTAAATGTTCCTATTATTAATTAGAACAGGTTTCGCTTTAGTTTTTATATTTTACTCTTGACATTTATTACTATAAATCTTCCTAGTGCTAAAACGGAAAATGTGACCTTTTGACCTCGGGGGTCACAAAGAACAAAGGTGAATTTAGCAAATTTACATTTTTTATTGAAAGTGTGATTACTTTCGATCATTTTCAGCTTATTTTCATGACAAAAGAATGACTGCGCATTCACTTTCTGTGCAACAAATGAACGCCAAGAACTCGCCGTAACAGACCGTTTCATTGGCTAATTCCTCACATCAACTAGACCCCATGTTATATAACAACTCTTTCAGCCCCCCCCCCACCCTGCAGCCCCATACAATGGGAATCTTACACACATATTTAGAGATGTGCAGCGGAATTAAAAAGTAATGTTTTTACCAAGCTATAGGAAAATCAGTATTTAAATCAACGTGAACTCATTTCACGCCGATCCCCCCCCCCCCCCATACACGCATCCTTGCTACCCCCACCCCCCACCTCCCCACAAATCAAAACAGTTGTCCAGGGATATCATATACACTTCTATAGAGATGGACAGTCCTAGAAATTTATGTTATATTAATATATAACATGGTCATCTACTCATCTTTTATATCAACATAATGACATTTTCCCTAATTGTAGACATTGGACCTCACATATCTCGAAAACGCCCCCTAAAACGCCTGACCACTACCCAGATTCGGAATTTACGCAAAAAACTGGTCTAGAAAAACTTGGTGTCATAAATTCACTACTCGGGTGGCGATAAAGCTCTGTATAGGGAAAGTTACGACAACTCATTTACAGGCGCCATAAAAATGCGGTTGGATCATATCATAATAGTATCTTATTTCATAGTTTTACGTATTTGTCGACATTATGGTGTACTTGTTCTATTGTTCCATTTAGCCTATGAATTTTCTTGTTTCACTTGACTAAACAAAACGTTTTGTAGGAATGTAGGCTTTTATAGATTGAACAAACAGCGGATAAATGTTGAGATAATTGGAACATGCTCGAGGCGATTTGTAACAAATCTCAGACACGATATATGTTTGATACTAGTTGAGCATCAGAAGTAAACAACATGCTTATTTCATTGGAAATGGGGTTTAAATACCCAAAGGAGTCGAACAAACTCTAAACCAACTGCGTCTCCTTCACTGGGTCCCTTCAATGGGTGTCTACCTGTGGAATAACATGTACATTATTTGTATCTGTTAAATTTGTGCGGTTTATATATTACATGTAGATTAATATTATTATTTACACATGGGCGCGGGGAATGATAACGTCTTACCCCAAACAAATTGCAAAAGAAACCAGGAAGTTTCGGAGAGCGATATCTCGTATCACATGTCACTGATGAAACATACACATGTCACGCTAGACACCTTTTATTTAAATTAAACTGATTTTAAGTTACACTGATTTTAAATGTTTTATCCATTATTCAATTTAAAGAAATTTCTATTTTCGAAAAATTGATGAAACAATTAATGACCGATGTACCGAAAACTGAAACACAGTCCGGAAGGGCCCCAGACCAATAATCATGAAATTTCAGGCATTTATTTTCTCGGCTAGAAGGCAAAAGGGTTTTATCTCCCAAATTACTATTTAAATTTTCATTTTTCACTTTACCCGTCAGCACAAAAAATCTGATTTTTAAAAGCGTATGCAAGTTAAATATATTTTATAGCGCTTTTATCTGGTGTATCTTTTATTTTATTTTCTTATGAATTAGTCTGTATAGCGAGAACTTACTATTAACACAGTGACACAGCGTATTCATTTTACGCACCTCTGGCCTGGAACAAATTACCTTATTTTATTCGATCTTTTATTTTATATCTTTTAAGTGAAGCACGTTTTCGCCTCGATGCTCTTTCTGATGTGGTGGTTTGGACCAGGATTTCGTCAATAAATGACGTTAACCCACATGGCGAAATAAATAAAATTTATTATTTTTAATACATTGATACAACACATCATTCACCTTGTGTTCCGATGTGCTCAACAATAACAAAGATACAAAAGATGAACGGAGTACAGGGAAAATCGACAGAGCTCATACTTCACATCAAATTCTTTTTAAAAAATTCGTTAGAAATTGTACAGTAGCTTTCACGGAGTTTTCGGAAAACAGTGGGAACGGAGGGTGACGGAATGCAAAATATCTTTTTCGTCCTCTGGTGAATAAAATGCTTCACGCCAAATTCGAAAATAGTCAGTTAAAAACTACAGCTTCTATCGAGTAACTGTGAAAGGGAAGGACGTGGGATGCTGATTATAGATAGGGGGTCGTCCCTGACTGAAGAAAACAATGAGAATCGACAGATTTCATGCTCCAGTTCAGAGCGGTATTAAGCTGGTAGGGGCCGCAGATCGGGACCAGGGGGTGATGGCCCCGAAGGGGCCCGGGAGGACGCCGAAGGAAGGCGCGCCGCTGGTAGGGGGGTGGGAGGGGGGTTCTCCCCCCAGAAAATTTTTGAAATTTGACAACGGGAAACGCGTTTTGCAAGCACTTCTGGGAGAAATCTAGGTATCATATTTTCCAAATTTATGCTGCTATTTTGTCTATAAGACATACTACTGTACTACACAAGACACTCATGACAGGTCTGCTTAATATAATGCTAATACAATGTATTTCTATCCAAATAATAAATTGCATCTTATACATATCGAGGCATGAATACATGTATGAATCTTTAGTCTCTATGAGACATGATACTAACACAAAAATGCAGGAAATGCAATTATGCTATCAGCACCACCGATTGTTTTAATCAAAGACCATTTCACCTTAAGGTGACAGACATTTGCACGTCAGCATAATATATTTTACTAATCGTTGTGTATATGTATGATTTTTCGCGTGCGCACTCTCAATTTTTTTAGGGGATTCCGCGTGAAAATTAGAGCTTTCAGGGGGCCCGCTTATACGGGTGGACTTATTGTTTAATGGGGGCCTGGGAGGACACCGTCCTCCTAAACTCCCTGCCAGCACGCCCCTGATCGGGACTCTGTCTCCTCTCGGCGCGAGGGCATTTGTGAATATCAGCATACCTTAGTATAGTTGGACTGTGAACGTCTTGGGCAATGTTTAACAAGTGTGATGTTTACCTATAAATTATGGCGATATATTAGACACGAAATTCTAACTTTGATAATTTCTAACTTATATTCATGTAATTTCTAAATAAGACAATGTATAATCCAATTTCTTTATATTTTGTTCAGCGTAAATTTTAATTCTATTTCATCTATTTCCATTATTAAGACAAAAAATCTCTTCTTCATTGGCGCGTTACATGTTTAGCGTGAACATCGAACAAATTTAGATCATCGAACATCATTATGAAGTCGCTTGGTGTAGCCACTGGGTGCTCAATTTGATGATTGAGCACCTCGTAAGAACCACTACATTGATTTAGAATACAGATGTGACGTCATCCTTTGATTTTGGTGTACCATTTTTTCAAATAATGATACGGGCAATGTTCCAAGCGTACATTATTTATACTAGTTGTAATATTGGACCCACGCGACGTATTTCATTGACATGCACGTGCTGGATAGTGTCTGTATTTTAAGTTCTTAAATGGTCTCGTGCAAGACATTGCGTAATATATAGATATTGCCCTCGTGCCATCGCACTCGTGCAATATCAATATATTACTTAATATCTCGCACTCGACCATTAAACTACAACTACACATAAACCACTCACTCTACATCTGGTTGAATGGTTGGACGGGGTGCTAAATTTGAAAACAACTTCTAATGTGGCACATAGGCTTTACAACATATGTTGAAGACGTGTGCAGGGTTGTTTTTTTTTTGTTTTTTTTTCAGTTTAGCCAATTATTATTTATATATTGTTACTGGTCTAACGAGAATGCCACTTTATAATGATAAACATTTTCTTAAAATAGTTCAAAAATATATATTTAGAAACCCGATATTGTGGTGATGAAACGGCCTTTAAAGGAGACCGGGATAATCTGTTCATGTGGATCGCGATGAAGTTTCTATTTCTAATATCTTGATTATACCTACCTAACTAACGTCATGGTAGGGTTTTTTTTTCGAACCATATATTATTTAAGTTGCATTAAGCGATACGGAATTTCATAGACAGCTATTTTCTTAATGATATTAAACCAAAATGTAATGGGGTTTAAAGTCCTACTTTTCTGCACCGACTGTGCAAATGAAGACAGACTTACGCCATACAGTGTGCTATAATAAATATTCTATTTTCTTCATCCGGGTATTGCAATACTTCTGTATATCATTATCAATAGACTTTTACATCCTGAATTGAAAATGAGAAACTCCATAAATATATTTGGCTTATAGACGTGTATATAACGATGTGTTTTCGAGCCGTCGTGCATATATTGAGAGATGAATTTAAATTGAAGAACTTTGTATTTAATGATGTAAATGAACAACGCTTTTATACACCTCAGGTAAGCAGTTTATTTCCTTTTGATATCGCTATACCCAAAGTCGATTGTTGTCACAAATTGAGTACATTGGGACTCCATTACCGTTATTGTAGAGCCCCGCAAGGCTCAGTCGATAATCAAAATTCCGCGTCATTGTACGAATATTCCTTTTAGAAAATCAGGGATAGACCCAAAAGGAACCTGTGAGTATGGTAGACTCGATGGCCCCTAAATAAGTTAATGTTCTCGCGTAGCTTGGGGGCCCTTTTTTGATCTGGGGGCTTTTTTTAGTCTTGAATATACGTTGTTTTTTGGTGAATTGATAAGAGTGACACATGTATAAGCTAGAAAAATCAGGATATACTATAGAAAGCACCAGTAATTATATTATAGTCAGTTTTGCAAAAATGTTCTCGCACCCAGGGGTAAAAAACTCTACCGACCCCAATACAGTGAGGGTCCCCTAACGGCGTCAGACCGAGAACCATGTAGCCGCCAGTCCATCCTTGTGGAAAATTACAAGTGGGGTTCAAATTTTTCCAACTAAGAGGCTCTTTCTGTTGTAAATAAATTGATATATTTTTTTATTTGATTTTTCAGTGGAGAACCCGCCCCTTTCTTTATTTGGTATATCGTTGTATTGGTGCTGCTTACACAATGTCCAGTCTGCTTTATGTATTTGCAACATCAGAAACATTGAAATATGAGTGGGGCGTATATTTCCCTAATTGGTCGTATGTTCTTCTCAGTGTGTACTTTCTTGTGCACTACATCTTCACATTACTAAATTACTTTCACAGTGTTGAATCAATATTTATTGAAGTTGCCTTAGAAAATCATATAAAATATTTCAAGGATCCGAGCACATATTTAAGGGAGCAACAATGCGAAGACGATGCTTCATCAGATTTAGCACAGGATCCGAGTAAGGTTATACAGCTTCCATTTTTTATTAAAGTTTTATGGATGTTGTATGCAACAGTATTACCTGCGGCATTGACAGTGACTATAATGTTTTGGTGGACGTTTGATTATGAGAGCCCTATCACGTTTAATATTGTTGCATTCCACATTTTAAATTCGGTGATAATACTAACAGAACATGCGGTGACAGCCGTACCTTTTCGTCTACTTCATTTTATATATCCATCTATTTATGGCCTCATTTATTTTATATTTAGCGCCATATTCTGGTCAAGCGACCACACGAGAGTTATCTATCATATTTTGAACTGGAACAATCCGGGTGTCACGTGTGTTTATATTCTGTTAATAGGACTTGTAGGGGTAGTAATGTTATATTTTATACTTTTTTGTATTTATCGCCTAAAACTTTTCATTTTTTATAAAACCATGCCCATTAATTCGGAAACTGAATTTGTCCCATTGGTGGATACAAGCTAGGCACAGTGATAATTTCCGTTTTTAATCCCAGTCACAGTAGTGGATTTTCTCAGACCGTCTTTTGAGTAGGTCTTGTTATCATTTGATTACAAAATGTTACATGCGTGTAAGTACCTTAATTCCTGGTGAATCTGGTCCCGGACGATACTACACACTGGCACGCTAATACTATTGATTACGAACATGGGCCTTTTAGTAATGACAATTTTTGTCATTAAATGACATAAGTGATCATTATTCTAAACTAATGTTTAGTATGTATACAAAAATGTCAAAAAATATACAGTTGTCATTAATTAGCGGGTGTGTAACTAGCTGTAAACGATGTCACTACTGTTGTGACACAAACCTGGACAATAGTGGTGTTTATCATTCAATAGTCTCGTTTTTAAAACATTAGTGACATAACACCTAGTTAATGATTTCTGCCTGATTACTAGCAATGTTAATGAACTAATAAACATTATGTATATAAAATGATGTCTTTGATCTGCTAGTGTCGTATATTTTCGGTGTCTGCGATTCTCCTAAAAGGCGAATGGTGAACGCCAAAGAATTAGGGATAATGCTATTTGATGATCGGGATTCCTTTATTTCCCGCGTATTTTTTTTTTATTTTTCTATTCAGCTCTAAAAATTAAAACTACTTGAAAATTCGCAACGAAACAAAGAAATGCCACGTACTGATAATACGAGAAGGCGTATATTCCAAATGCCATCGAAAGATGTGTCTTCTATTCACTTAATTCATTAAATATTCGCCGTTTTAGGAGAAACACAGACACTGGTATATTTTCATTTTCAAAAGTTATCTGTTGCCCAGTCAACGATATCAACTTTACAGTGACACAGAGCTTGATATATAGTTAACTAATCCACATTCAAATGAATATAATTTGAAAAATCTAACGGCAAATCCAGATTTTGGATGGGTAACGTCATGGCATTTGAAAATAAAATGTAAAATGTATTACCACAAAGAGAAAATGTTCGGTGACTATTCTAATGTTTAATACTTCATTGTTTTTAATAAAACATTTATGACGATCTGTGTTGAAAACTATTCTTACTTGCGCAAACCATAAATTAATTTACAAATTGTTGCAAATACCCATATATGCTAAAGAGGCATGACCACTTTGATTTTGGTTTAAAGATATAAAATAGGGTTGGTGGTCGGTCTGTCGGTCGGTCGGAAAATCTTTTTATTTTTTATAATTATTTTTGACTGATGGGTAGTAATATCTATTTCCTATCAGTTCTAGCTGAATTACTGAGTAATTTAAGTGTTGGAATTTGTCTAGATTAATTCACGCCAAGATCAAGCCTGGGAAATGAGAGTAAATGGGTAACGCTAAATAGAAATAGGGTCATCGGTAGGGTAACCGTAAACACAGGTATTTTTGTATCTTGGCCTAATGCATGTGAATATTAAAGCAGGATGAAAAATTCGCGGGTACCTATTGACTCTTCATTATCACACATGGCCTACGTACGTAATGCAGCAATGAACTAATAAATTCAATGTTACTTAATACGTGTATATCAACAATGAATTGGTCGATGTGACCCAAATCGTCGGCATATTTTTCCTATTGTATGGCAAATCAAGTTAATCGAAATTCACCGACGGTTGTCAAAATTTGAGAGTGTCCTTTTATACGCCAATATTTCATGTTGGAGTATAATACTGTCGTCACTCCTGTTTGTCCTATCGTCTGTCCGTTTCAAATAAGTATATTTAGGCAATGGTCATAAGGAGGAAACTTATCAAAATTAAGAGTTTCACAGCAGTTGTTTGTCGAGGTACTGCCATTTTAGGGCGCCCCACGCAACTCAATTTAAGCTATTATAAAATGTTTTCCCTTTGTCAGCGATGTAGGACGAAGGGCCTGGCAGGGAACAACGTATAGTCGTTCGGAGGAACGAAACATCGCGGGCACGTGTACATATTGGCGTGCACGTTAAAGAAACACATGATAGCTCGAATGTGAAATAAGAGTAGGCAAATTTTCCATCATAGCAACCTGCATGGTATATGCCCATCTTGATTAGCCCAGTCGGCGCAGAACAGTAGAACATCAAACCCCATTTCATTTCATTTCTTTCGGAGATTTAATTTTCACAATATTCTGGTTTGCAGAGATTTCTGGAGCCATGCAACGTCTTTAACAGACATTCCAGGTAATGTTATTCCAACTAAGCCACATCATTTAATATTTTATTCAACTATATTTTACAATAACATTTGTTTATCCGACTATTCAAATACAACATATTTTATTACACAGCAGCAAGCTTTCCATTAAAATATCAAACTATATTATATACAACATATTATTCTACCAATGGATTAACTACCAAATGTGGGTTATAACGATTACTATATGTTCAACTACAGTTAGTACTGTGTTGGAATGAAAAGCGTAAGTTGTTAACCCTTTCAGGCCCAAGTAGTTAAGTTTTAAAATAACTTCTTGTTTTATGATATTTTATAAATAATTTGGTATACACAAAGTTATTTTTAAGTTTTACAAATTTTACTGAAGGGGTGGGGTGGGTGGGATTGGAACGTCCAGACGGGCTGTAAAGAGGTAAATTATTTTCAATACGAAAAAGACAAAAAAAGTTTGTTATTCTTAAAATCTGTATTTTTATCATAACTTTAATCAGCAACACTAAAAAGACAATAGAAAGAAAGAAAACTATATTTTCTCAATAATTTGAAACAATAATCCAAATGTATAGTAAATTTCCAAACCCACCATGGAAATCTAGAAAACGAATTTTTGGATTTATTACAGCATAAGAATACAATACGTCACAAATTTACTGTGAGGGCGAGATTCGACGTTTGTCTTAGAAGAAACCTTGCATCGACCACGATTTTCTGAAAACATATCATTTCACAGACCTTTTGTAAAATAAAACCTCTCTGTGTCATCTATACAAAGAATAAGTTTAGAAAAAACCCCAACCAATTCACAATGGAAAAGTCACATAAATCGGGAAAAAACGCATTGGTACTTAAGATTCCCCGGTCCCAAAAAGGTGTACAATCTGCCTGACGGGACTAGTAAGTCCCACCGAAAGAAATTATAACAGTAATTCCAAAATATTACCCAATTTTTATATAAACTTTATGAAAGGGTTTAGAATAGGATAAAGTTTCATGAAAAAAAAAATCACAATCATTTAACATACTTTGAACTTTCCATGTGTCTTCAAACATGCACAAAGATTTTCTTACAAAACACGTAATTTTGTGTTTGACAATGAAATGACACTCTACAAATTTCTTTGCACTAAGACTGCACTTCTTCAACCCGACCATAGACCGATCTAAAACTGACCTATATGTAATACTGGCCATAATGCACATATACATTGCAACATTTTATTCACTATATGATGGGACATGAGTCTCATAGGGCCTGAAAGGGTTAATAAGCAACACGGAGTCTAATCAGAGTAATACGACATTGCAAGATCACGATGCCCAAAAGAACTGATGCCTCTATGAAGTTAAACCGTTTAAATTCTGGGGACCTGACGAATAAAAAAGTGGCTGAGAAAATCCTGCTGATTTCACGTCATGTCCCACTGATGGCGCTATCACTGAAAACTAAGGCCAGTGCCCCACATTGCTTTATACTGATCCATCGAAGTGATGTGCCGATGGAGTGAAATATCACACTCTGATTTTAGATTTTTCAATCAATTGGATAATATCTATTACATTCATCTCAATTTTTGAGTTAAACCGTTCCTAGTAACAATAATTACTCTTTAATGTACAAATTGCAACTATTATAAAATCTTTTCAATGTACAACATGATGGTATAATTTGCGCATTAAAGCAGTATTATTTATTATATACACCAAAATTATATATATCTACCTGTGGTTATATACATCAAAGAGTAATGTGGAAAGTCCATAATAGGGGGAGGAGGTAACCTGTAGCAATCATTTAAATTCTACTAGTTTATAAAGGCGCTGTATTAATGTTATGGCTATATGGTCTAAAGAACAAAGATTAATTTGATATTAAAAAAGTTAGTAATTAGAAAACACAAAGTATGCGTTGCCATGCAGGTACGAAAAACACACCCTTTAAATACATTTCAGCTTAAATCGTTCAATTTGTGTATTGAATAAAAATGGCTACTGAGATTCCCGGCGTTTATAGACGTGAATACTGAACAGCTAAACACCACTGTATTATTTTGAAACATTTCTGTAGATAGTATACCGTTTAATTTTCTGTCGAGAATTAATCCCGATGGCCACCGGAACAGATGACTACCGACATACCAAATATATATCAGTCACTAAATGGGTCAAGTTATTAAAGGGTCTTTTTTACAGCTATAAAAATTAGTTACCGCCAAAAGGAGGCATTGCAATTTGGTGCACGAATCTTCTCCATATCATTCTCGTGTAGTAAACTTCATGATTTCCACTGAGACATTTTAAAAAATCAGCAGTAGAAAATGTTAAGAAAATACATCCTGTGATCTGCCACAGAGTCCTTTGTTCCATTCATTTTTAGTCCGGTTGTTCTTTTTTGTTAAAAAGTCCAATGTTTAAGTACATTCGTATCTGTAACCTAATCACAATTTGCAGATACATGGCGCTTGTCGGGGTTTATATATATACACACTCTTTGGCAGGTACACGAGGTTCTTTAAATGTCATTTTGCAGGTAGCCTACCAACCCGAGTTGCACGAAATAGACTACCATCTTTCACCTGAGATCAGATCATCCATCAAAACGTTTATATACTAATGTTCTCGAAATACCATAAAATCTTCCATCTTTCGAACCGTTCAAATCATCCAATGGAAACGTTTTTAACCTAATGTACTCGAAATACCAGATAATAATGACCACCATGCATCACCCGATTGGTTTAAATCACCGAAGGAAAACGTTTACATCTTAAAGTTTGTTTGATCACCACTATCCCAGACAAATAATTTAGACATCCGGTCTCTCGCTAGTCTTGAATCTTACCCTGTGGTACCAGAGTTGGGTTCCAGCAAATGCATCTCCACCAAATAAAAGTTGCTGTTGTTTTCTTTTTCTTTCAAACGAACGTCGGGGTTGTTATGCCATTTTCACTCCAAGGTACTTTCGATTTTTCCCCCACAACTCGAATCACCAGCATCAACGATTCCATTAGACTGTCCCGAAATTGTTGACTCATGGTACAATACATGACGAAGTTGACGGCACTGTTAATCAAAGCCACAGCATCTATCAAGTCACTTAATGGAAGGTAAACATCCACAAAAAATCCGTCAACACAAGCGCAAAGGACCACGAGAATACTTTGTGGTACTTCCGATATGATATACATTACAATGACAGCCAGCAACATCAACGTGGTTCTTCGATGCGAGTGACTCTTGTGGTTCTCTCCCTTTAAACGACTTCCACGTCTGTCACTTTCTCGAAGCGTGTGCAACAAGAAACCACCAAATATAGAGATTAGTACGCATGGAATAATTTTACCGAATACCGGATAGACCCAGAAATTTAATAGTGCCATCGTGTTGGTTTCGTTCTGAGATAAACTAAGGGAATCCAATCGAAAGGTAGACGCATTATATTTATCTGAAAATGCTTCGTGTATTCCTGTCACAATGCAGTTGGGAATAATCAAAACGGCCGAGCCTATATATGCAAAAACAATAATTATAATGGTAGAACTATTTTCCATGTTTTTCTTGCTATTTGGAGTTGCTGCTCGAACGAACACGTATCTCATTATTGCCATAATGACCCCAAGCCAAATGGACACAGTATGAGTTGTCAATGTCAAATTAACGTGAACTGCCATGAAAATTGTCCAACCATAAGAATATTTGGCTGGAGTTGCTTCTAGTCCATGTACCAGATAAAAATGAATAGCAAATGGAATGTAGGACAACATAGTAATTAGATCAGCAATAGCTATGCCAGTCAGAATACAGTTAATTGGCGTCCTCATTGACTTTTTCGTCAGGACAGCTATGTTAATTAAGTTTGTAATGACACCAAACAAACACACGATGAGACTATAGTAGCCATGTATAGACCAATAGCATTCTCCGAAGCTTTGTAACGGCGTCGATGTGTTCCAAGTGCACATTTTGACTGTTGTTCAGTAATTGAATTGGCGTCACAAATAAGGTTATTAGGAATTGTCTCTTAATCACATGATAACGTCGCCTTGGCAACCAGTGTCAAGTCGGTATTCTAAACTAACATTTGACACCATATAAAGTTTGGTATCCAGTGGGTTGTAAAAAGAACAGTCCGTGCTCATAACCGTCTTCCGTGACAAGGAACTAATTATGAAGGCTTGCTAACAATTGCCTTCTATAGAACTGAGAACTCCCTAAGGCTATCAGCTACTTGCGATGGTCACCGTTTTCAATACGCAACTAAAAGGATTCTAAATGTCATTGGGTAGATTGATATTCACGACTAACATGTCTAGAAAACCAGAGTCTGTTCAATAGTAATAATCCTCTACTCTTCAGCCCATTAACTTGAAACACAACAGAGTTTACATCAACATCAGTTACTTGTTTCTCTTGTCATTTATTGGGTCTCGTCACGTGAGATTTATTGGTTGGATCCACCATTACACTGGATTCAAGTAAATAATAGGATGTATCTAAAACGAGAAAGCAAATTATGCATATTGTTATAACGGGTTTAAATTTTGAGTACATTAAATAATTAATTTCACAGGCTATTTGATTACAATTCTAGACAATCACTCATGGGTTTAATTAAATGTGGCATTTACATGCAACGTAGCTTAAAGAGCATTGTGTTGGTCAAGCCTTAATGTAAACGTGGAAAGAGTATATTTTCTGCTGATTCAACCTTGATTCTTGTTTGTGTGTTACAGGGTAAGAAATTGGCTGGGTAAAGTCATACTGGTCAGACAATAAATTTCATTATTATCTCCTATGTTCCTTTATCTGGCCACAAGACGACTTTCGTTTCAGTCTTGTTCTACGTATACGACAGACAGATGTATTAATATTGTAAATGTACATATTAAATTTAATATACTCTCAAAGATAATTATGAAAGAGTCATATTATGCCGAAATAGACAGTCCTTTGGGTGATATCACTTTCATTCTCTAGCGTAAATTGATAAATCATTGCACATAATCGGCCCATAAATCAGAAAGTAATAATTATCTTTCATCAGTAACAGTTTTACTTAAATTTCATATTCAGTATAAATAACAGATGAAATTACGAAAACTTAGTATTTAATATCAGTGTAGTAAATAATTCACGAATCTAGGTCAAATTCGAACACTTCCGGGATCTAATAGATGTAGGGTGACAGGCAAATATGGGCGAACGCGGGATGGCTATAGGGGCGACAAGATGCATCCAATCTACCAAACTATGCGTCAAACAAAAGCTTGCGATCATGGTTAAAATTGGCATCGGATTTTATATCCATGAGATCTTGGACTAATTCAAATTTAAACCAGATTCGTCAGTTATGATCAGAATTATCCTCTTTGACACAGTTAAAATTAGCTTGTAATCGAACAAGAATTGTCAAATATTCGCTAAGCTATCGTCCTTGACATAAGTGAAACACGACAAATATAACTTGAAACGCATTGGCAACCTTTTCATACGATTTATATGGAACTTGGTATATATAAAAAGTTGAACACAGTTGATTCTAAGCAGACGAATTCGGCACAATTGAGTAAATTTCAAATAAAAGAATATCAATGATTTAACCTGCTATTTGTTTTTCTAACCATGCTAAAGTAGAGGTCGCTTATATGGTCAGTTAATCACACCGAGAGATTTTACGGTCCTTTCAGTCTCGCAGTTAGTCTTATTAATAATGTTATTATCATTTATTTGCAACTATATATCTATTTTTACTATTATGTAGCCCGTTTAACGTTACACGTTTACGTTAAGGTCTGACAAAGCCTCAACATAATGGAGTGAACCTATATACTGAAAATTACATATTATACATTTGACACTGCTGTATATTTATGTGTCCAAGATAAAGCAAGTAACAGTTCATAAAAATCTTTTCTTATAGGCCTACATTAATATTCTTGGCGTTTGAAACATATTTAAGCGACAAGGTTAGTTGTGACTTTCAGTTAAAATAATAAGCTAGTAAAAGTTTAATGCGTTGTGTACTTTGAACAGTTTATATAGTCATTCAGACCTACTAGTAGCAACTTCCATAGGGGGCCATGTTCACAAACTCAAAATGGAATCTAGACATGAATTTTATAATAAATAAATCAGTTGTCTAAAGTCGTATGTATATAACTATACGTTTATTATCCATAACGATTTCGCCTAATGTATGCCATTTGGTATTTGAAACGGTCTATCACTTTTCAGACGTTAATGATGACGGTTATGTATATTTCCTGTATGAATATTCATGTATTTATGTATGTATGTGTCTGATTGATTTAAACCGAACTGATACATGAAAAGTTAAGCCCCAGAAATGACCTAGAAAAAAAACAAACAAGAGGGATCCAACTTCCTTTTGAGTAATATGTTCTGCTCCGACAGGGCTAATGAAGACGGGCATACAGTGGGCTATGAGGGGGATTTTGCCCGGACAGCGGACCTACAGTTTACTCTTTTATCGATTCTTTACGTGCATATACATTGCCCCTTGCCAGGCCCTACTGTCCTGCACCGCTGATCCCGATGAACTGTCTTGGCCAACACCGGGATCGAACATGGGACCTCCAGGTAAACGAGCCAAGGTCTTATTCACTAAGGTACCGCGGCTCTCCTGTTCCTAGACAAATGAGTATTTGGTAATATGAGATATCGGATAAGAAAACAAATTAAACGCAACATGCTAAGTATCATTAAATGATTGTAATTCTAGCCATTCTAGATCAGATTAAAACCTGTTAAGATTTCATCTAACAATACATTTTATATTGCATTATACGGTGCTTTAATGTTTTGTCCTACTCAGCAGTTAGATGTATAACTGATCAAGTAAATGAATAAAATCATATTATATACATATATTTCGTTCTATATATTTAAAAAATAAATAAACGAAAGTGCTGTTCTATTATTACACCTGAAGTCCCATGTTCGATGCCGTTGTTGGCCGAAAAAGTTCATCGGGAATTTCCGGCGTGGTTCAGTACAGAATTGGAAATAAGAGTAGGCCGTAGTGCCGCTGTCCGGCAAAATTCCCTTATAGCACACTGTGTGGCGTATGCCCGTTTTCATTAGCCCCGTTGGAGCAGAACAGCGTTTAACCTAATTTCATTTTTTTTTTAAATTTTTTTTTTTTTTTTTTTATGGTTTTATTATTACATTCATTAATCAGTTTCCCATTTTCTCTATAGTCTGTCATTGTAATTTGTTAACCCCTTCTTGTCGAAACAATCTTTTGATTAGCTAGGCCGTGTCTAGTCAATTATAGTTGGCTACACCAAAAGCCAAAAGAAATGGAAATAATAAAGTCTCGCATTAATAAGATCGGTAACTGATTGTCTAGCATCTATCTGCCGAAACATCTTGTTGTCAATTATTCACATATTGGCGGAAGGGACAGGAAACAGAATAACGAGACCTTGAAAGCTCGGTCAATTATCTGACGGTGCATAAAGACGGCAGTGTCTCCCCAATAGAAGACTAATTAGTTACTTCATCACAGAATCCTTGGTTAAAATGAAAATCTCTCGAATGCTGGTCTCTATCGTTAAAGATGCATTATTCATGAGCTAAATCTGTCTAATGCAGATTTTTCGTTAGGCGCAACCCATTAATTAAACATTTATTTACATGTCAGGCCCATAATCAACTCTCAAGAACTTCGGAGGGTTTAGATTTTCAACAGATTAAGAAACGATTGGCAGCTAATTATTTAATTTTAAAATGGAAAACGGAGAATTTGTGTATTGTCGTAAAAACAGTACAAATGACGACAATTAATTATGCTCAGAATGAATTAATTTGACTGACATTTTCAACATGGCCCGTTTTTAATAACTTTTATAGCCAGAATTGTCAGCTCTTCATCTAAATCTTATATATTGCACCTTTAATATACCAGAAACTTTGCTATTACAAATTAGACCCGGACACATTGCTTAAATCCCCTAACTACGATATTAATTTATATTTTCACTAAACATAACCAATGTTGTACTACAGGTTCTAGTTTGAATATTCATGGTATCTTTCCAATTTAAAATATGTTTGTCTTTTAGTCCCATGATATTTTTTAGTGGTCAGTATACATCAGTACATATGTATTTGGACTATAAATCCGAATTTTAATAGACAGGAATACACGTCATAAACACTTTTCAATCAAAAGAATGAGATAAGTAGATCTGTAAATATAGTTCAAGAAGTCTTATAAGGATTTTAAAGTCGCATACAGAATTTACGACAAATCTGTATGAATATTGCAATGAACCCTGGGGTCGTGGTATTTGAGTAGTCCGTGCATTGGATTTTCGAATAGAATGTGCTGGATTCGAATCCCGACTGAGTCGGGAATAACCTTCGGGGTTTTTAAACCTGAGATGGAAGTCTTGGATGGTCCGAAAAATCGCGGTCGACCCGTACTACTATTGGTGTGCAAGTAAAAGAACCCTTGACAGTTGGAGATCAACACTTCGCTCTCGTGGCAAAATTCTCATATCTCACATTGCACACGTAACGATGGAATTAACAGCTACATGTTCGTCTCGAAATTACCGAATTATTGTCTTGATTAGATATTGGGAGCCACGGTGGCTAAGTGTGTAAGACGCTGTCTCGCGTGTTCGATCCCTGCATTGGCCGAAAAAATGTGGTGCAGGATGGAGGGTCTGACTAGTCGTTCGGATGGTACGAAAAGCCGAGGTCACATGTATACATTGGCATGCACGTAAAAGTTCCCGTGTACCCATTAGCATTTGGAATTCGATATAAGAGTAGGCCATAGCGTTGCTGCCCAGGCAAAATTTCTCCCATAACACACTGTATCGCGTATGCCTGTCTTCATTAGCCCAGTCGGAGCAGAACAGTAAGACGTTAAACTCCATTTCATTTCATTTTGACTAGATATTAAATCCCATTCCATCCCATAATGCCCCGACACTTATTGAGATGGTATTAAATTGATATTAGGGTCAAACCCTAAGTCAGCTATTTCATGTTACTGGATTTAATATCGTTTATTAAATTCATTACATAATATCAAATATATTATTGTAATTTCAGTCAATTATATAACAAAGCAAGCGATGTCAGAAACAATTAACCTATGATGCTTTGTGCGTGTCACGGTAGATTAGATTAATGTATAAATCGAAATATTATTTTGATAACACAGCAGAAATTCGTAAAGTTATTCCAAAATCAAAAGGAGTCTGTATAATAGGTCGACCTCTAGAAATTAGGGGTGTCCACGAGGACGACTTTCAAAACCCCTCCATGTCTGATATGTTATATTAGCGTTTGCAATACGGTTAGTCATGCCCCCGTCAGACCGGGATGGCGCCCTGACTGCGCTGCTGCGACCGTACGGCGACCAGAAAATGCACAAGGTCGCCGGCAAAGGTGAACACAACACGCGAAAATGTCCCAAAAAAACAAAAACTTGAAAAAAGTCGTGTTCTCATAG